GGAGGACGACGAGGAGGAGGACGAGGACGAGGAGGAGGACGAAGAGGCCCTGCTGGAGGACGAGGACGAAGAGCCACCTGCCGCCCAGGCTTCGGAGCTGGCCGCGCAGCCGCCGCCGGAGCCCCCGGAGGCGGCAGCCGGAGAGGCCTCGGCCGAGCCCGCTGCTTCGGAGCAGCCGGCGGAGGCCCCCGCCGGGTCAGGCGGGGTAAATGGTGGCGAAGAGCAGGGCACCGGCAAGGGGGAAGGAGACGAGCCCGAGGAGCGGAGCGGGGACGAGGCGCCGGGATCGGAGGCGCCGGGTGACCAGGCCGCGGAGGAACAGGGTGAGGAGCTGGCGGCGGAGCCGGGCTCCGGACTGCTGGGTGCGCCCCTGCTCGTGCACCCCGCCCTGGTTCTTGTCTGCCTGGAAATGCGAGCTCCCGGTTGCACGGCTGGGACTCCCCAGGGGAGGGGGTCTTCAGCCCCTACCCGCCTTTCGGGGCGGTCTGGCCGGCCCCGATCTCGGCCCGCGAGGGCTTCCTTCCCCACCTGGTCCCTTGGTGCCAGTGCGTGGAAGGCGGGGGGTTTGCAAGCGACCCGCTCTGCTCGCGGGCTACCTGTGGCGCGGTCTGCTTGCAGACTACCTTGACGAACGCCGGGCCAGCCAGCCCCGCAGGTGGAGGCGAAGGCCTTCGGGCTCCCCGACTGCCGGCCGGCTTGTTTTCGCAGTAGAACTATTAAGCAATAAGCGCAGACCGTCAAAGTCCACTCCGGGCTGGAGGCGCCTCGCGAGGGGGGTGCCCCGCGAAGGAGGCGCGGGAGGGAACCGGGCCCGCTGCGCTTAGCAGCAGGGGCCCCGACAGGTTCGCTGTGTGCGGGTGTCGGGTTTAATCCAGCGGAGAACGTTTAAGGTTCCTGAGCGAGAGCTTGCACTGGGCCGTGGCCCCTTTAACTTTATCGGTGCCTCTTCCCACCGAGTGGCTGGACGGGCGGATCTGTCGATTGCCTGGAACTTGGGCTCGCGTCAGACTTCAGGCTCCTGGCCCCAGTCCCCCAGCCCCACGTCCTGAATGGAAATGACACCCGGGCGCTGGTGGGTTCTTGGGGCCACCGTGTAGGAGTCTGGGGAGTTGCCTGAGAACGTTAGTGGTTTTCTTTCGCTCTTGTTTGAGGTCTCGGGCTGATCAGAGGCCATCCATAGCAAGACCTGTTAGGGGTAGAGTCCTGCCCAGGGCTCAGTCAACCAGATTGTCTCCGTTCTCTGTCATGTTGTTTTGGTTTTGCTTTATTATTGGAGTGGGGTGGGGGTGCAGGAGGGTTACTCCTGCATTCCACAGTATAATTGGAACCCACTGGAGGGCAGTCACATGCAACTTGCCGGTGGTTTGTCCCCTGCCCTGGAGCAAAAGTCCCATTACATAACCGTTTGTGTCCATAAACCGACGAGGGAGAAGGACTGCTTTAAAGAAAGAATTGTTAAAACCCTCTGAGGGTCACCAAACGCAACACAAGGCCAGGTGCCTGGGCAGTTTCCCCCTTATAAAGAAGGTTGCTAAATGTGTTAACAACACCTTTGGGCCCCAAATGATGGTGCAGTCTTATTTATGGGTCTCTTGTGACCGGCACGGTTTTGCCCTGCAACTTTCGGTGAATGTCCACGATAAAAATACTAGCTTTGGGTCACGCACCAAGAGTCCATTCGCTTTAGAAGTCAGGCCAGGAGTGTGCGCTTTGAAGATGGAAAGATACACTCTTAAAATATATGTATATATATGTTTGGTTTTTTTTGAGACTTCATTATCATGAAGCTGTGGGAGTGATGGAAAATAGGTGTTAGGTGCGAACTGCTCAAATCCAGATCTGACCATCAAAATTCAATGAAACTGTCACAGGGTTTTGCGTTGGTTTTGTGTGTCTGTATGTGTGTGTGTGTTCGGTTTTAGATTTAGGACTTAGAGGCTATTTCCTTGTATGTTATGATGATAAGGGAGTCTGTGGGTTTGACCTGATTGGAGCTGATGACGGTAGCATGCACGGCACGTGTTAGCCAATTTATCTCCTGTGTTGACTCATCAGCCTGTGACATCGAGCGCTGCTTCTTTCCTTTCCTCCTTTCACATAAAATCCCAGCCAGTGGCAGGAGGGGAGCCTCAGCAACCCAGATGTTTTGGGGGCCTTAGTGGGAACGACCCGGCCCTTCTGAGGAAACACAGACTCAGACACCTCCCCCCCGCCCGCCCCTTTTAGTTTCTCTCCATTCTGAGCAGATTCTGCCCTCCCGTACCCCAACCGCCGATTTTCTCTCCCTCCTTTTTGTAGGAGATGACCAAGATAGTGAGAAGTCAAAACCAGCAGGCTCAGATGGTGAGCGGCGGGGGGTAAAGAGACAGCGGGATGAGAAGGATGAGCACGGTCGAGCTTACTATGAGTTCCGAGAGGAGTCTTACCACAGCCGGTGAGGGAGCCCGCCCCTTTCTCCGAAGGGAGGGTCTGCTCTGCTTTTGGTGGACCTAATGGTGACTGGAAAGAGGGTGGCATGAAAAACGGAATAGGCCCCGAGAGGTCCAACTTGTAGAAGGAGTCATCTACCCTGGAGAGCTCCCGTTCCCCCCACATTGGTCGAAAGCTGTGTGCTGGGATTTTATATTCACCGGTAGTTTAAAGCAGACGCCGCCCGGAGGAGAGGGCCGCAGTGACATGGTCTTTGCTTCTCTCTCCTGTGTGTAGCTCAAAGTCCCCACCACCCCCTGAAGAAGAGACAAAAGAGGAGGAGGAAGATGAGACCCTTGTGAACCTGGACACGTGTATGTAAAAAGCCAGCCGACGGGGGAATTCTTCCAAACCCCTCCCCACTGTGGGACCTTAGAGACTGTAACTTGGTAGCTTGAGCTTTAGCAAGGGGGGGGCTTGGTTCCTATCCTTGACAGCCAGGCGCGTTTGGGCTCTGCTGGTGGCTATTCCGGGCGGGACACTGGAGTGGACCGATGGCTTCTTTCTTAACAGATACCTCGGATCTCCATTTCCAAGTGAGCAAAGACCGCTATGGAGGCCAGCCACTCTTCTCTGAGAAGTTCCCCACCCTTTGGTCCGGGGCGAGGAGTACGTACGGCGTCACGAAGGGCAAAGTCTGCTTTGAAGCCAAGGTAGTGTATTCAGCTCATTGAGACCATTCACCGCTAGTCTGTACGCCGGACCCTCGTCCGTCTGTATCTCCTTAGCAGAAGGTGCCACGCTTTCCGCCATAATCTAGGCCATAAGCCAAGAAGCTAGACTCCCGTTACGGTGCGTGGACCTAAGTGACAGTAGTTACTCTGATAGTGAGCTGCGATGTCTGTTGCTGTCAGTAACAGTAGAAACTGTCTCTAACTCAAGACGTTTTGCCCCCTCTTTGGGCAGAGGGTCTAAGCATTCCTTTTCTGACCTTGGCCAGGTAACCCAGAATCTCCCCGTGAAAGAAGGCTGCACAGAGGTTTCTCTGCTTCGAGTTGGGTGGTCTGTTGATTTTTCTCACCCACAACTTGGTAAAATGATTTTTCTTTAATTTCCTCATTAATGCCTGCCACCCTATCGCCTGCTCCCGGAGCACCGAGGGTTTCTGTAACTAGCCTGTCGACTGGCTCTTCTAGGTGAGGATGAATTCTCGTACGGTTTTGATGGACGAGGCCTTAAGGCAGAAAATGGGCAGTTTGAAGAGTTTGGCCAGACGTTTGGGGAGAACGATGTCATTGGCTGCTTTGCTGTAAGTCCTCCTGCAGGTGGTGGGTTGAGAACCAGGGGTGGCCAGAGAGGCCAGTTTGGTCGTACTTCCCGTCCTGCGCTGCTTGCTCAGTACTGTTGTGGAGCCAGCCCCGAGGGAGCGAGGCTGTGAGACTGGATCCACCGTAGACCCTGCGCGCCCATAAGTGCTCTTGTCCTTTGTCATTGTAGAATTTTGAGACTGAAGAAGTAGAGCTCTCCTTCTCCAAGAACGGGGAAGACCTAGGTGTGGCATTCCGGATCAACAAGGAATCCCTGGCCGACCGGGCCCTCCTCCCCCATGTCCTCTGTAAAAATTGTGTTGTAGAATTAAACTTTGGTCAGAAGGAGGAACCCTTCTTCCCAGCACCAGAAGCGTTTGTGTTCATCCACGCTGTGCCTGTGGAGGAGCGGGTGCGCACAGCCGTCCCCCCCAAGACCATGGAGGAGTGTGAGGTATGCCTAGCAGGAGACAGAGATGCCCTGCCCCTAGCCTGCAGGGGCCGGAGGGCGGACTGCTCTCCCGCCTCCTCTCCCCCAAGCTGACCTGGGGCCAAAGAAAGATGCTCCTGGAGTGGGACCCTCACTCACCTTCCCTTGCGTCCCTGCTCCTGTCCACCCGCAGGTGGTCATGATGGTGGGACTCCCTGCGTCTGGAAAGACCCAGTGGGCACTGAAATTCGCAAAAGAGAACCCTGAGAAAAGATACAATGTTCTGGGAGCGGAGACTGTGCTCAGGCAAATGAGGGTGAGTCTCTGAGGGGGGTGTTTGTTGTGGGTTCCAAGAAACCCGGAGGCAAGCTAGTCTCTCAGGTCACAGAACAAGGGCCCCATAGAGAATCACATCTTCCTTTAGTCACAGCCATAAAGTGGGTGTGTTCTCTTGCACCTGCTGTCTCTTCTCTGTACTTGTCCCGGATTGAGACCGGAATAAGGACAAATGGACGTGGTAGCTCCGGTGGCGTTTTGAGAGGTGGCAGGTCACAGTGACAAAGGGCTTTAACCTGCTGCGTCACGTGTGTCTTCTCCACCTCCTCTCAATCTCAACAGATGAAGGGGCCTGAGGAACCAGAGATGGACCCCAAAAGTCGAGACCTTTTGGTTCAGCAAGCCTCCCAGTGCCTTAGTAAGCTGGTTCAGATCGCTTCCCGGACAAAGAGAAACTTCATCCTCGATCAGGTATTGTCCAGACATTCAGACAGAGCCTGACTTTACAGGCAATCCAAGATGAACCACGGTATTTGGTAGCCTAAATTTAATCTGGCGTTGAAGCCGGCAACGTGGTGCATGTAGGCAGAGCGAGGCCAAATGAAGGAGCAGAATCCAGCTGCCTGGTTATAACCCCTAATGCTTACCTGAATGCAGGTACACCTCGTTCATGTTTGTGGATTCAGACTCTAAACAGAGGAGAAGGGGCCCTGGAAAGGGCAATGGAGACTTGTGGGTTCGTTCGCTCCTCCACTTCCTCGGTTTAATCTCCCTGAGCCTTGATGTGTCCTGCCATAGCTGTCCCCTCTACGCGTCAGGCCGCTCCTGAGATTGTACTGCTGCTGAGAGATGCTCAAGGGTGCGAGTTGCGGCTGAGTAGTGACTTTTACCGTCAGTTTCTCAGATGTGTGTTCTCGCTCCGTCTCTAGTGCAATGTGTACAACTCCGGCCAGCGGCGGAAGTTGCTGCTGTTCAAGACCTTCGCTCGCAAAGTGGTGGTGGTCGTCCCCAACGAGGAGGATTGGAAGAAGAGGCTAGAGTTGAGGAAGGAAGTGGAGGGCGACGACGTGCCTGAGTCCATCATGCTCGAGATGAAAGGTGGGCTGGACGTCCACAAACGGGGGTCCCGGCACACCGGACTGGGCGATCCTCTGCCTGTCGGGTGTCCGTCGGAAGAGCAACTTGGTGGGCGGGAGTGCTTGCTTGCGAGAGAATGGAGACGCAGGCGCGTCTCACTCTCTGTGGATCAGGTCCAGAAGGAGAAGTTAGACTTCAGAGGCCGTGAACACTCAAGGGAGTTGCTCACCTCACCCACTGTCCATAAGTACTGGGACGATGCTTATGCCTTGTTTCCTATTGGCTCACCACTGGCCTATGCATAAGGAGCTCTGGTGGTACTGTCGGGTGAGGTGTTGGGCTGCCAACCGCTGGGTCGGCAGTTCAAACCCACCAGCCGCTTTGAAGGAGAAACGGGAAGGTGACTGCTCCCGTAAAGATGGCTAGCCTCCACGGAGACAGACTCGACTGCGTAGCAGTGGGTTTGGCTTTAGGGCCCTTGCAGCATCGGAAGGTACATGTGGGGCTGCTAACCTCTAAATCGATGGCTTGAAACCCCCCGGGGCGATCCAAGGGAGAGAAAGGAGGCTCTCTGCCCCTGTAGATCACTGGAACCCACCAGGGCGGGCGGGCGAGCCCCGTCCTTACAGGGTCGCGGAGTTAAATGGACTCGATGGCAGTTTTTGGAAACATGGTGGGGAGGAGGGGGCAGCAGTAACACACTAAGGCCTACCTTCTTGGAATTCATGTTCCCGAGGGGGAGATTGTATTCCAAGTTGGAATGCCATTGGGATGAATGAGCTCATTGGTTTACCTTACTTTATTTTTCACTATCCTGTGTGGCCACCTGTGGTTTTGTTGTGTTGTGTGTCTGTGTTGGTGTGTCTGGCTGAAATGGGAACATCTCTGGAAAGTACCAAGCCTGAGCGGAGCCAGGTGCACACACCCACAGTCGACTGTCTTGGTTGACCCAGCTTCCTGCTGTTCTCGTAGAGCGTGGCTTCCCTGCCCCGCACCCCTACCACCACCACCACCTTTGCTGTCCTTAAGGGCTTGGCATCTTACCTGCTCTGTCATCTGCTGGCTCCTTGAGTTCTGAAGAGGCCCAGGTGGTGGGGCTGGCTCCCCATCTCTGAGCTGGAGCCTCTGCGTTCACTCGGCATGAATGGTGCCAGTCCTCGGCCTTCCTGTTCAGACACTCCAGGCTTTAAAGATCAGGGCTGCCTAGACTCCTCTGGGAATCCCAAAAGCCCACAGAACCGAATCTCACTGGGGCCCAGGGCCCGAATGCAGAAAGTGGCCCATTGAGAGTGGGTGATAACAGTTTCCCCACATACGCTTTATTTTCTACTCCTCTTTATGTAGAGGAGTAAGTATTGGCAGGCCTGGGCCAAATCGTCATTGTAAGACCCAAACTCTCTTTGTTACTTTTAGCCTCTGGCTGCCTGCTTCTCTCCTGATAAACCGAAGCCCAGTTCTCGCTCATTTATTACAGATCGCTTGAGCACTTGCACAGCTAACTGCAGTGTGCAGATTGGCCTCTGCGTGGGGCTGTTCCAAGTGAGGGGACAGTGGTGGTGGAGAAAGTTTACTGGACGGGGGCGTGGGACGTGAGGCCAGCTCGGTTTGTGTGCTGGCTGGCCGTGCGCTCCTCGGGCCCACACGCTGCTTCTCTGCTCCTCTCGCAGCCAACTTCTCTCTGCCTGAGAAATGTGACTACATGGACGAAGTGACCTACGGCGAGCTGGAGAAGGAGGAAGCGCAGCCCATCGTCACCAAGTATAAGGAGGAGGCGAGGAAGCTGCTGCCGCCCTCCGAGAAGCGGACTAACCGCCGCAACAACCGTAACAAGCGCAACCGGCAGAACCGAAGCCGAGGCCAAGGCTATGGTAAGTCCCGGGACCGGACCGGACCTGCCGACTCCGGCCTCCGTGTCTCCTCGGGCAGGTCAGTGCCTTCTCTGGAGAGCCGATGCCGTCTCGTTTGCCGCCGCCTGAAGTGGAAGGCCGTGCTCGCCTATCTCCTAGATGGGTCCTCTCGGACAGGGGCATGCTAAGCCTGCTCATCCGTCTAGCTTTTGGGTGACCTAGGGCTCCCCCACACCACTGGCCTACTCCCACTGAAGAACCTGTGCAAGGGAGATGAACGCCTCGTCTTGAATCTTGAGTTTTCTTGCTGCTCTGTGGATCGGAGCCATCAAAGTGGATGCGTGATTCCGTTATTAGTCCGACTGACTCTTGTATTGAAATCCCAGAACAAAAACGGAATGACTTCCTGGGTCACAAAGCAAGTTGATGGCCACTGGTGGAATGAACCCCTGACCCCACCCCAGCCCCAATGCCCAAGTTTGGTGGTTAAACTTTCAATGTATATGTGTCCACCGCCCTTTTAAAAATGCATGTGTGCACACATGCATGCGTACACGCCTTAACAAAAACATTTGTGAGTGTCTGCAGTGCTAGGCCGCCCCCGTAGGGGCTGGGATCACTGACATTGGCCCTCAGGAGCTTAGGGCAAGTTTCTATGAGGCTGGGGTTGGAGCACCTGGAAGCCAGGTTCCGTCCCAGGCTGGAAGCCTGTGCAAGGGTGGATGCAGTGTGAACTCCGTGTCTAACACTGTCCGGTCCCTCTGCGATCCTAAACGTCTTGAAGGGCTTGGGCGCTTCCCAGCCAAGGTGGCAGGGGAAAGTTTCTTATGTCCCTCTGCTCTGCCCTCCCGCCCAGACTTTTTAAACCTGCCTTAGCTGGTTGCCTTTGGCTCCGGCTTTTAGACCAACTGGAGCCAGGACCCCACCCCATCAGGTGTCTGAGCGCGCTCTCCGTTTTTCTTCCAGTGGGCGGGCAGCGCCGCGGCTACGACAACCGGGGCTACGGGCAGCAGTACTGGGGGCAGTCTGGAAACAGAGGGGTGAGTGCAGCTCTCCTGCTCCGCCCTCTGGGCTGTGATGGCCGTTGCTATTGACTTGGGGAGCAGAGTGGTTTGGGCTGTTTTCTGAGGCTTAGGGTGTGGCCCGTTGGATGTATTTCCCCTGAAAGAATTCCTTCAGGGGCGGTAAAGCCTGTGTGTAATTCCAAACTGAGCTGTGTCTCATTTAAGGGGGATCGCAGTGGGCGTGACGTGAAGGACATGTCCCTGAGTGTTGATGCCACCTCTCTCTCCTTCCTCAGGGTTACCGACATTTCTATGATCGCTACCGGGGGGACTCGGACCGATACTACGGGCGGGATTATGAGTACAACAGATACAGAGACTATTACAGACAGTACAATCGGGACGTGAGTATCTGCTTGGGCAAGACAAGAGGGTGAGGGGGCCGGACCAGGGACTCTGTCGCCTGCCTCCCCAGCCTCAGCCCCGCCCTGGCTACCAGTGATGGGGTCCCCCTCTCTTCTAGTGGCAGGGCTACTACTACCACCATCCCCAGGACAGAGACCGGTACTACAGGAACTACTACGGCTACCAGGGGTACCGGTGAAGCCACGGAGCTGAATCTCTGGGGGGGCCAGGCACCTCCGAAAACACAACCAAGGAAAACAGGGGCTGTCGGGGTGGGGCTGAGCTGCCAGGGAAGGGTGGGGGGGTAAGAGGGAGGGTGTGCAAGCAGGGGGGGTGGGGGTGGGAGGGAGGTGGAAACCAAACAACAACAACAAAAAAAAACTGTACATTTTTTTTAAAGTTTGTTGAAAAAAATATTGTCTTATTCTATAAAACATTTCAAACCTAGTTAGATATTTGTAATCAAAAACAAAAAAACAACAAAAAAAAATTTGCGCGGAAAATGGCACTCAGGACTGCCTGCCCCGCAGCCTGCAGTCGGACAGGACGAGGATGGGAAATGCCACCCTTCTGACATTCTGAGGCAGGTGGCCGGTGGAGGTGGGGTGGGGTGGGAGGCTTCCCCAAAGCAGGAGCTGGGACAGGGTGAGAGTTTGTGACCGGGGCAGCGAAAATAAACGATTGGCTCTTATCAATCACTTGCACCAACTAACAGTTTGTATCTTCTTTGCCGACCTTTCCCTTTGGGTCTGGTGGCCTGGGAGGCCCGCATGCCCCACTCTCCACTCGCCGCTGCCTCTGCTCTGTGTTGTGTGCTCTGTGGCTGAGGCGGGAGGCTGCCGGTCTCTGGCTCTATTACAAAGGATTCCCAGGCCAAGGGGAACCCGGAGGCGCTGTTACTGGTGGAGCCGAACAGCTTTGCCCTTCTGTGCTCCCAGTGATGAGTGGCCTGCAAATTGGGGGCGGGAGGGGTGGTCGCAGCTTTCGGCTTGCTGACGTGGGCTGCGGGTCTCTGGTCTCTGGCTCCCCAGGTTGAGGCAGGCTGGGGGACCAGGCAGTCATCTGAAGGACCGTTTCTCAGGGGTTCCGCTCAGCGACGCAGCAGGCCGTGCACATAGGTGACTCCTGTGGTGTGGGCTGCCAGGCCCAGGTGTGAGTGAGACACAGCAATTATTTTCTACAGTATGGAGGGCAAGTGGCCCTGCTGGGGTTTTTGATACACAGGTCGAGAATGGATAGAAAAGGGAAGGGGGGTGGGGGGAAAGGCAGCTCAGTGGGGCTGCTGGACCTGGGGAAGGTGCGGGTGTGAGCGAGCCCGTGTGTCAATGTGTGCATGAGAGGGGGGCACCCCCTTCTGACCTTGAGACAGGATTCCTTCCAGGGTGCTTCCCCCCTGTCCCTGAGAGGCCTCTGGCCTAATGCCGTGAGACTTCGTTTGAGCTCGTTTGGCTGGTGCGAGGCTCCAGAACTCGGGTGGGACGCGGAAATGGTGTTGCAATACTCGGCTTCCATTTGTATCCATGTCCCGGCTCCGCTTGGTGTCAGCCAAGCGCTTTCTCGGCAAGCACCACTGGGGGCAGCACTGCCCAGCGAGAGCGAGCGCTCTGCGTCTGGGACTAGAAAATGCTTCCTTCCCTCTAGCCCTGACCTGGGCAGTGCTCTGTCCCACGTTTAGCACCTCTCTCCCCCTCCCTCCCACTGCCCTTCCCTGAAGGCCTCCTCTGGGTGCACAAGTTCTCCTCCTGGCCCTGGCCTCCCCATCTGTCAGGACATACCTTTCTGCGCCTCGCTACCTCTGACCCCGAGGATGGGATGGGTGTGGTGGATTGAGGCTGGCAGGAAATGAGTTTGCTTGCTGCAGCGCCATCCAGTGGATTTGCGTGTGGCAGTGGGTGAAGCGATTGCGTGAGATTTTCTGTAACCCACTAACTTTTTATTGTCGTTACTATTAAGGAAGCTTGGGGAAGCTTGGCTCATACTGTCAAGGCAGACAGGTTAAGAAAGGAGCCCACGCAAATGCCCCGAGTGCCAGCTTATGTCGTCATGAAGCCTGCATCCCCGGGGCTGAGGACAGTTCTCCCTGCCAGATGTGTGGTTGGCCAACAGACAGCGTTGGACAAGGCAGGACGGCTGGGGCCCTCGAGGGCAGGGGCATAACGGGTACGCCCATGGGGGTTTGCAGGATGTACTCGCTGTTCACTTTTGACACTAGAAATTCACCTCTGTTCCTTTTTTTTTAGAGGAAAATTTTAGAAAGCTGTTTTCTAGGCGGGTGGAGAAACACTGCCCCCTCCTCATTGCTTCAAACCAAGAGCTCACTCACAACAACAGTAGATGTCTGGGTTTGTCTGTCTTTTTATGATGGGGGCAAAAAAACCAACAGAACCTATGTTACGGGGCGGGGGGTGGGGGGTGGGGGAGGCGGTGCGGATTATGCCGAGGGATCCCTAGCTTTGTTTCCCTTAGAAGACTTGTTTAGTGTTTTATCAGACGTCTCATTGTTTGTAGAAGGAGAAGCTTGTGAGACAACACACACGCGATGCCTGTAAATGTTTTTACGAAACTTGTAAAGCATTCTTGGAAGTGGCCAGTAAAGAGAAAAAAGGGGTTTTACCATTTAAACACAACAAATGTACCGTGTCATTGTTTGCATCTGTAACCCCTCCCGCCCTCCCCCGACCACATTTGGTGATCATTGTAGGCACAGTCTCTTCCAGTTTTAGAATAAATAACCATGTGGACTGAATCCATCCTCTCTCCTGTGGCTGCACTGACTGGGCTGGAGTGCGTCCCTGGGGGCCCGATGGGGTGGCTGCGTTTGAGTTTTTGCATCCTTGCTGCATTCTCAGGTTGCACGGGGTCCAGCCACGGACGGCTTTCTTCCTGGCATGATGCAGGTCCCTTCTTACTAGGCTCGCCCTGGGCAGGCTCAGTCGTGGGCTCGTTGGGTCTCTAGTGCTTGTGCATGCTAAGAATTTGAAGCCATGGGAGTACAAGAAAATAACAGCTCTTGGCCTCTATCCTGGATATACTCTGTATCCTTTACTGAAACCCATTGGCTGCTTGGAATTAATCATAAGATTCCATTTTTTGGACCAGTTAAGTTTCTTCACGAGTAATTACTATTGGTGAGGAAAAGCCCGTTCACGTGACAGAAGATGTTTGGGTTATTTCCGAGTGACTAGGAGGGTGAACTGAACAGCAGAGTTTCCCTAGCATCCAATTGGTCCTCAGCAGGGGGTCCTCAAACTTCTTAAACAGGGGGCCAGTTCACTGTCCCTCAGCCCCGTTGGAGGGCCGGACTATAGTTTTTTTAAGAAACAACAAATTCCTATGCACGGGCACATAGCTTATTTTGAAGTAAAAAACAAAATGGGGCAAAAACACCCAGCGGGCCAGATTAATGTCCTTGGCAGGCTTCATTGTTGCCTTGCGGGCCTTAGTTTGAAGACGCTTGGTCCTCGGGGTAATGGGGATACCACCAGTTCTTGGTATCCACTGTTGTGAAGGGGTGAGGGAGAGTTAGGTACCACTCCAGCTCCCTCCTGGATGTGCCCTGGATGCAGAACTCGGGGTTAAAGCTGTGGACCCTGAGGGCTGGTCTTGAGGTGGGCCTCTTAAAGTCACTGCTTCGGTATTAATCATGGGTGATTATTTGTAGCTGATGCCTTGTTGCTAGTGGCCCCAAAGCTCCCTGTCCTGAACTCAAGCTGTGGCTGTTCACCCCAAAATGTGTGAACCTTTGAGTGTGCAGAAAAATTGAGCAGAGGTCTTGGGTGAGGATGGAGTGGTTTTCAATCTCACATCAAGGTGAGAGTTACTGACCACATTGACCTTTTTACCAAGCCATTTGGAAATGTTCACATCCTCCTGAAGGTTGCCTGGCATTGATACCTATGAGGGGAGCCGGCCCCTAACAAATCACGGGTCCGGCAGGCACAATTGTACAGCTGTAACATAAAGATGACAGTAAAGTCACAGAATTAGAGAGATAGGAGAGAGTAAAATGAAGGAGTCAGACACATTTCATGGTAGCACGCTCACCTCAGCCCCGCTTAGTGGTCCACATGGGGATCCAGAGACCAGAGAGGAGCAGGAGGGAGAGGGAGCAGAGGAGGATGAGGATGAGAGAGGACAGGGCTGGAGAGGGGGACCGGAGGAGAGAGCATCTTTATTGGGGCCATTTGTAGGTAGCTATAAGACATGCATATTCAATAGTATATACATCACAAGGTGGGTGGTAACCACAGTAAAGTCCCTGAGGTCACAGGTGAGGAACCCAATACCGGCATTGGAGGAAGGCATGTGGGGGGATGGATGCCATGGTGGGAGGAGATGATCAAAGAATGCCTGCCTCTACAGGGAGGCAGAATCAACCAGGTGCTCGCTTTAAGGCAGCATAGCTGTTAGGGGAGAATCTGTGGGGATGACATTTGTTAGTTTCCCACACACTAAGGAGAGTCGGCTCAGTCCTGCTATGGAGCAGGCTGGCCTTTGTAAACGGGTGTAGTACAAGGCTTCATTGAGTATGTGAGGGCCTCCTAGGTTACCAGACATGGACAGGGTGGGGACATTAAAAGAGACCTTATCTTTCTTGAGGGTTCCACGGACACTAAGGAGGAAATAGCCCCTGAAACAGAAGGAGGGCAGGTGCCCACCTCAGGAAAGAGATGTCAAGTGACTTTAATCTCTAGGATAAGGGGTAAGGGCACTGAAATTTCATCAGTAGCTGAAAAACTGCTATTCCTGACCATGCCCCAAGTTCATTGGACACATCTATTTGGGGGATCAGAATGTCCCTACGAAGGATTTCTGAGAGTCGA